CCAGGATGAATACCCAAAGGAACAAAAGGTAGCCCACACACAGATTTCCAGGACAAAGTAGATAGGGCCTTTCACGTTTTTCACCAGTTTCACGGCTGCTGCAGTTTCTCCTTTGGGCTTTGGATAGGGAGGGTGAAACGAGGGAACTTCACAGCTAGAAATCCTACACACTGGTCCTCTTTTTTTATATAAATGTCATGACATAAAGTAGTCCCAAACGGTTAACTCTATGTCAGCATTGGCCCTGCAAGTTTTTTTATTTATTTTTTTTTTTTTAAGATTTTTAAAGTATTTTTTGGGCTTTTATTGCCTTTAATTGCTAGTGACAGCTGAAGATAGACAGGAAAGGGGGGTAGAGAGAGAGGGGATGACATGCAAGGCGCCGCAGGCCAGATTCGAACCCTGGGCTGCTGCAGCAAGGACTCAGCCTCGGTACACGGGTTGCCAGCTCTATCCACTGAGCTAAGACACCCGGCCCTGCAAGTTTTAGGGTAATGGGGTGTTGAGCCATTTTCAACTCATGAAATGCCAATTTTCATTCACTAGATGAAAATTTTTATATTAATACCAGCACTGTACACTTATATAGTTTAGTTAACAGCTCAAAAAACATGTTAAAGTGTGGAGTGCCTCTATAAAGATTATATTTCACATACAGAACTGTAAAAATTTGCAGTTTAGGTGCATTCACCATCCATTACTTCTGTGGTGATGATGCTCTGACAGAGGCTTGGGATTCACAGGACAGAGTAAGCTCTGATGACATCACCAAGGGTGGTGCCATCATGTGATGTGACGTTTTTAATGTTTCATCACCACACTAATGACCCCACTTTTCACTTGTGTGAGCAACACTAAGTGAACAACCTGGGGGATTTATAATTCTGTACAGAGGCCAAGGGTAAGGTTATCCAAATGTGTGTGCGTGCAGACGTGAACATGCACCTTGTACACCGACAGATAGCAGTGCGTGTCCACACTTCAGAGGGATGCAGTGCGCAGTCACTGGGCTTGAAATCAAGCGCAGTGAAGATTGTTTATGGACTGCCAAAAGTAATTAATCTCCCTTCTCGATGAAAATTAATCGGATTAACCGTTCTTGTGGCCCAGTGAATCTGTCTCCCTGTAATATGCGTACACTGAATCTCACTGCCGCTTCTTCATCCCGCCTAGTAACCATAATGCTGGTCCTATAGGCCAGATTCATTGGCTTCACCACAACAATGGGCTTCACAATGATTCTGGAGTGTAATCGCATTCTCCTGCATGTCTGAATGCTTGTCTTTCACGGTGGGGAAAGAGCATTTGCCACTTGACCAGTATCATATTCTGACCTTTTGATAGAGATGCTGAAGTGTGCCGACAGAGATTTGTTGATTAGAGTTTCATCTGTGTGTCTCTGGCCGCGGGTGAAACACATGTTCACATGATGATCTGACCTTTTCAGCAGGATTCAGATGAGTATTATGTGTCCTCCTTGCCTCTCCTCATTGAGTGAGTTATGGGTTAACATCCAGAAGAGGCTGTCTCAAAAATATTCACTGGTTACTTTAGTTGCTGCTGATGCTCGGTGCATCCAACCATTATAATTCCAATACACCCACACACACACAGTATTTAACAGTGCCCTCGCAGTAATACAAATGTATGTTGGACAGCTCTAAAGTTATTCTTAATATATTTGTAATTTCTGATTCTAAGAAAGTCATGCTCAAACCATTAAAATTCCGAAAAGTTTAGGCCCCTGTAGCAACCCTTACACAGTGTCTACAGAGGAGGTGTAGAGTAAGCAGCTTCAGACCTCCATCTGTCTCTACACAGGGTGCATTCAGGCACAGCAGGGAGTGTAGGTCATCCATGTTTTGGCTGCAATCAGAGCTAATCACGCAGTCTTTCTAGTTACGCGTGTTATGACTTGATGGGGTCAGTTACGAAGAAATGGATTACATCGAATATTTTAAATAATAACAAACTCAATTTTGTAACTTAAAAATGATGCATGATAAAGTTGCTTTTACTAGTAATTTTAAGTGACACTAACTTCATTTTGTAAGTTATACATACATCCTTAAGTTCTCTTTAGTAGGTATTTTGTTTTCACAGTACAAACGAAAATGACAAAATGAAGTCATCATCACTTAAAATTACTAAAGCTACTTGATCAAGTATGTTTCAAAAGTTGAGTTAGTTCTACTTACTGCTTCAAAAGTTGAGTTAGTTCTACCTACTGCTTCAAAAGTTGAGTTAGTTCTACTTAAAATTTTTCAAGTGAATTTTCAGAATTTCTCTGATTATCAGTATTTGAATTTTTTATTATTGTTTTGATAATCAATAAAATCATTTCAAAAACTGGCTCTGATGTAGCTGTTGTAGTCACCACTCTTTAGTCTTGCTCAGTGTCCCACCCACAGCATTATCTGGATTGTTACATATCATAAATAATAGAGTAATAGTTTTTTTTTAAGATAAATTTGAAAAGCCAGCTTTTGCAGAATTTAATTACACATAATGAGGCTTAAAGGACTCTGATCTTAATTAGCAATACCACAGTGTAAAACTAGTATACTATACACCGTAAAACAATAATAATATAGTCCCAAATCGATGCAGGTCTCCTTTACTAGCCCGTTGTGGCACGTTTTGACAAATAAATGCAGGTCTCCATTGGAGACCTGCTCTGGATTTTATAGAAATGATCTGGATGTATAAAACCTCTTAAAACCTACCGGGCCGCCCACCTGTCAATACCCGTTATACATCATAATGTATTAGTTGATTTATATTTGTAATAATAAACAGATTTTGCAAAGTAACTAGTAACTTAAGTTATCACACATTTTTGTGCAGTAACAAAATTGATATTTAATTTATTGAGTAAAGTATAAAGTAGGATAAAATGGAAATAGTATACTATAGTACTAACCCAATAGATTTTAGGTTATAATTTTACTGTTTACTGTTGGATTTCTCTTTCAAATAAATTTAACTAACCAGTTGGCTTGATTACAGCCTGTCTGGGTGTCTGACTACTTGTTTGTTGCCCCATTGGAGCCATTTACAGCAATTTCAAAGTACAATAATAGTAACTACAACTGATAACCTGAGCTACGAAAGTAAAGAGTAAATGCCAGTGCTAACACTAGCCTAGTCTTTGTTGAGTGATTCTAATAGATGCTTTTTGTTTTTCATTTTATGTACCATTTAGTAACAATACGGGTACTAGAATCGACAAATGATGTCGGGGTTTCTGCTGGAGAAAAAGCAGTCTCTATCATGCCTCAATATGCCGCCCTGTTAAGTTAATGTGTTTGCAAACACTCTGCTCACTCAACCATCAGAAACAAGCAGGCAAAAGATAACAGCTCACAGATACACAGCCACCAGATCCCCTGCTTATAATAGACCCTGCACACCCTTGGTACACCCACGCACCTGATTTCCCTTCTCTTGGCTGATTAGACCTCTTTGAGAATAGTGTGGGTGTGTACATACTGGGCTTGTTTGACATCATCCTCACTTTTCCATTAGTTCTGTTGGGAAAAATGACAAATGTATTATCCTTATTGGTAAATGTTAAGTGACGTCCTGTTGTTCCCAGAATAGTTTCACCTGGCTTCAACCTAAGCAGAGGCCTCATCAGACAGAATAATTGAGAACACCTGAAGGTGTGCAGAGCCTCAATGCTTATGTTCTGGCAAACAATTACTAACTCACACATCCACCAGACACTGAGCAACATTAGGAGCAACACTTGGAGTCATGTTGGTGTCCACCTGATCCACCTGATGAATGTAAGTCTTCACCAGGGCATACATTGGATTTGTTATGTCGGGGGGGGACTCTGTGGTTTCAGGGTTGACATAGGTGCACATATGTGCACACAGACTACAACATGTAGGTGATATTATTTGACAATGTTGAAAGAAACTGAACTAAAAACTAGTGAAAAAAATATTTTAGTTAACCGAAATACAAAAATGAGGAGGCACAGGTGCATTTGTTTATTGAGACTAGGATGCGTAAAAAAATATGAGTCAGTGTGCTTTTATTGTAATACCTATGTGACAAATAACCCCCTTAATATATATATATATATGTTCCATTTAAAACTACATATGCAAAATATCAGAGCATATTACATTCTCTCATAACAGTTTCTGACCTATTTCTCTCCCTACCTTGCCATCTATCTATCACCATGCCATCTGTACTGACTGAAGTGCTAAAAAAGAAAAACCCTGTCAAAGTCGTGATGTTCTTGCATCACCTCATTTAGGCCTATGTTCTCTAGAGCTAAGAAGAAAACATGGTTTAAACAATGATTAAATTGTTAAGACAGAGAACGGTGTAAGTATATAGATTGTTGTTGAAGATGTGCAAAGTTAAGCAAGGACAATTGGTCTCACTGACAAACATGACTAAAGACGATCCAGTTGTATTGGCTTTTTTCTGTTTTTGTGATAATGTCTGTCCACTGGAAGGATGCTCTAGAGGGCTGGCAAAATTTACAGTCATTGAAGCATAAGATAAATATATTTTGGGGTGTGTTTGCTCAGTTGATGGATGTTTCAGCAAATCAAAGTCATGGTGGCTGCTCCTAAAAAAAAATAGACTTATTTGGTTGCCTTTGACCAAATTGGAAATTTCTGTCCCTGGTGAATCACAAAGGTGGCGGTTAGAAATTCAGGCTTCACCTGAATGTATGTTTCAGTGTCTCTTCAGAAAACTAAAGGTGATGCCTTGGAGTTTACACACAGTAAAATAGTTACAGTAGTTACATGCTGTGTAAGAAGTACGTTTTTGCTTGATGGGAGCTCTGGTGAAAAAAAAAACATTACCAGCCCTCCCTGCCATCTGCACAAGGCAACAAAGACATTACACAAATCATGTTCACTTCACTTACTGTCAGTACTGTGAGTGCATTCATTTTTAGACTGGCAGATCAAAGTGGAAATAAATTGTGTTTTTCAGTTGGATTCTGCTTATTGTTGCTTCCCCAGGCGCCTGCAGCTGACACGCCACCAACCATCAGGCAGAATGTCGTACGGGTCCATTGACGGAGGCTCTTTTGGCAGTCGCAACCCATTTGGAGGTCCTACGAGGCAGGGTTACCAGCCAGTAGGTAAGGACAAATATTGACTGCAGTAAAAGGTCACTTTTAGTTTGAGACACTGGTGTAATTATCATAAACAAATAAGATATTTGCCATGATGATTTTCCTTTACCACCCTTTACAGAGCCTTCAGCAGTGTAAAGGCACATATGTCATCGCAGTTTAAGGATTTCAATTATTTCTGCAATTGCTCTCTCTGTGATGGAATGATTGGGAAATTCGTCACAAAAGAATAGAAATAAGTTGGGTGTTTTTAAATACGTGTGGATCTTAAAACTATAAATACAGGAGCTTCCAGGACTATACACTGTAAAAAACTGGCAGCTGCGGTAACCGGAGCTTTACCATAATAAATACGATAAAAGGATATTAGTACTGTTGAGTTTTAATCCATATTTTACTGTATAAATACGTTTTTACCATTTAAAAAAAAAAAAAATGAATGAAAGTGGTTTTCTGTGCAATTTACAGTTTGTAAAATAAAAAAAGAACTTTATTCCATATAAATTGCTTTAAAATGCCGTATAAGTAAAAGTTTTGCCATGAGATATTACTGTGTTTAACTGTTATGGAAACTTTAATGTATATTGTACATATTGCGGGCATAGAAAGCAAAGGTGGCAAAAGTATACACATTCTTTGCTCAAGTAGAAGTACAGATACTGAACAGGTACAGGCTCTGAAATGTACTCAAAATATAAAAGTCAAAAGTACTCTCTTGGTTTCTCTGAAGGACATTTCTACAGGCTGTTTCTGTGCAAAGCTAATTCAAACTTCAAATAGGGTCAAGTCTCTCATTATGTCTTTTACATAATTTATGTAGTTTACGTCTTTTTACATAGTTTATGTTGTTTTCGTCATGTTACATCAGGTGTTATACAATAGTCTTCATGTTGGGAAAGTGTGCAATGATAAACAATTATTCCCCTCAAATCGATTAAAACTAAAGAAACAAGCCTGTTTTTGAAAATGTAAAGAGTAAGAAGTACAGATAGTTGTGTAAAAATGTAAATACTCAAGTGACTGCTTAACTACCTGTCAGGGATTATGATTTATTGCAATTGCTGTCTTATCTGAGGTCTGTATAGGGACTTGTTTGAATCCACATATTTGACTGAGCCATAACACATCCCTTTTCACTTTGCCTGGTCCACATCGTATTTATTGATTCATTATGACGGAAAAGGTCATATAAGACTGAATAACAGGAACCATTACTATTAATCAAATTATGCCAGTCAAGTCCAATATTAACTCTAATGTTAGCTCTGTTTTGGTTTCCACCAACTCCTGAGGGAAATATCTGTCTCTTAGCTGTTAAATGCTCCACTATATTCACCATATATTCATAGCATTCTGTATTAAACCTTTTCATCTCCCAAGAGTGAATAACAGCAGCACTGTTATTTGTACCAGTTGCATGTAAACATTGTGGCTTTATGAAAGTTTGCATGAATTTTAGTAGTCACCCACTTTCCCACGTATAAGCAGGTAATCAGAGTCAGGTGTTCCAGCAATCACAACACATTTATTATTCATAAAGAAATCAATAATTCAAGCAATCAACAGTGCATGTACATGAGTAAAACTACAAACAAATACAACAATTACATGGAAAAAAGTGCACAAATGAGGATTTCACAAGCCACTGACAGTTTTCTGTTTGTACATACATGTGCATAAACTCTCCATTTACCCCTGTTGTATATACTTAAAGACACTAGGTATTAATCATCTGTGTATATGCATGTGTACGTGTGTGTGCTCTTGCGCAGAGGTCACAGGTTTTCACAAGGGTTAAGCAGTGTGAAAAGCAGCTTCATTGGATTTGATCCTGTCAGTGCTTTCATTAGCTTAGTAATGGGGTATGAGCAAGACAGAGCCCCTGAGGCAAAACCTGTTCCCAGCCAAACTGGAGGTGTGTGAGTGTGTTTGTGTGCGCGTGTTTTTGGGAAAAAGATGGGTGGTGAGGACAATGAACCAATGTTTCATGTTGTGGGCAGGACAAAGAAGCACTTGTACGACTCAAGAATATCCATGTGCATTAATGACAATGCATTAATAATTCATTTTTTTTAAACTCAAACTGCAAACTGAAACAGGCCACCTCACCTCAAAATACACAAAGTACACGCAGTCCAGATAATTTCAAACGGTGGCTGCTGATCATATTATAGCATATTTTATCCATTTAAAAGGGCCAGTGTGCAGGATTTAGTGGCATCTAGTGGTGTTGTTGAACAAAGGAGGAACTACGGATGCTGCAAAACCCGCAAAAAATGCAAATGGCCCTATCTAGTACCAGTATTTGGTTTGTCTGGGCTACTGTAGAAACATGGCGGTTCAACATAAGAGCCTCCATAGAAAGTAACCTGCAGCGTCTGTAGATAAAAACAGCTCATTCTAAGTTAACAAAAACACAACAAATGCTATATTCAGGTGATTATACACCAATGAAAACATACCTATGAATATTATATTCCATTTCTGACAATAGATCCTCCTAAAGTTTACATACTGGACCTTTTTAAAGAGCCTGTTTAATTTTATAGCATGGCAACTACTTTTCCTACAGTCTGTACAACAGGCCTAAAATGCCATATGGAAGTAAGGCCTTAGTAACACTATGCTGTCTGGGATCAAACTGGTGTCTGATATGTTGTATCTCTTAAGCATACCAATAATAATAGTCTATATAGGGCCTATGTGTCATATTTCACTGTCCGACTGTTGGTATGTAGCTTTAGCCTTATTCTTTAGCATTATATCAGGTACGCAGCCATTAAGTAACTTTACGTATTTAATAACTTTTTACAGGGTCCGACTCAAGGAGTTTAAACAAAAGCATTAGCTTTATTTATGTTATTTTAGCCAATAACATCCCCAGTCATCAGCTATAAATGAGAAGCCTGTTTTTGTTTATTTCTCTGTGGAATCAAAGATTTAGTTTTTCACAAATTATTGTGACATTATATGTATCTGCCATTGTTATCACTGGAATGGACATAGACAGACATAGCAATAGTAACTATGGACGTCGGGGCTTAGACACATATCAATTGTCTTCTTACAACTTGCATACAGTACATTACCCAGTTGGAGTCATGTTTCTGGCCACTTAAGAGATGTAACTCTAATATTGCCAGTTAACTCTGGTTTGGTCTCTACCAAGGCCCTTTACCTCACTCATTTTCTTTTTTTTACCTCATCCCTGTATTGTTAATGATGAAGATGCAGATTTTGGTGGCAGATTTCAGTGGCTTTACTCTACAAATAACTCTATCATCTATTACACCAAAATAATTGGTGGTAAACTTATCACTCGTCACATGTACAAAGCGATGTCACTGATTTAAAAAAATGATCAGTGTAAAAGTAAAATGGTGAAGGCATGGCCAGTGCCTTTGCAACATAATGATCTGCTCTCATTTTAACATTTCACACTGACTGGGATCAGCACAGGAAGTTCATCTGTGAGTTATAGCCTACAGATTTAGTGATTAAAAGTATTTCCCATTAACTCTTCATTAGTTTTGAGTGGCTTTCAGAACTGTGGCTCTTAACCTTAGTTGAAAGACCAATGGTTCTAACCTAATTTAGTCTCATGGCTAATAACGTTGACAAGCCTTTGCAGACTCCAGTGGAGAGACCCTGTCGGACATGTTAAAGAGATTAATTTCTCTGTAGCAGTACAGTAAACACAACACACAGCTTCACCTATCACTGATATATTGTAATCATTTAGAGCTGACAAACCTTGAGTACAGCTGGCTCAATCCGTAGCTACAACCCTAATGTCACTCACACTTCTGCAGGAGATCAGTGGCCCAGGTACCCATCCAGTACTACCCTAATAAATGTGCTTTTAGCGATGGCCAAAAGACAGCCAGACTCCATGTGTTTCCAGCAGGGACTTGGCTTCAAATGGCTAGTTAGTTCTTGGTTGCAGTCAGTCAGTTTTGCCCGTGTCTCTATTTGTGGGAAAATATGTAACCAACATACAGACATTTACCCACCAGATGACGAAGTCACCTGGTTGACCACCACTTTGGTCCAGACTAATATTTCAATATCTCATGGATGGATTACAATGAAATATGGTTCACACATTTATGTTTCCCAGAGGATCATTCCTGCTGGCTATAGTAATCCCCTGACTTTACCACTAGAGGATGACATTTTTGGTTTTAAGTGAAATGTTTCAACAACTATTGGATGGATTTGTCATGAGATTTCGACATTCATGTTCCTCTCAGGATAAGTTGTAATCAATTTGTCGACCCCTTGAAGTTTCCAGTGATTCCAGCACAATCAGATTGTTAGCTATAGTATTCAGCTCATGGCACCATTGTGATTAAGTGGAGCTACTAGCACAGTATGATTTACCTGGATCGTCAACTTTTTCTACAAATCAAATCCCCTACCGTCAGAAACAATTAAACAATGCTACATTCTACAGACAAGTGCTTCAATGCAGGTTTAATATCATGATTCACTTGATTAAAGTTAGAGCTTTTTGCTATGTGTAAAGCATGATTATTGTTCCAGCTAGAATGAACCTTCAATGTTATTTTGAAGGCAAATGTGTCCTTTTTTCTCACCCTTACTACTCACATAATCAGCGTTAACTATGTAAGACTTGATTAACATGTTGATTTCCATCGTTTGTTACTGAAGTAATTGCTGAGAGTATGCATGCTGCTGTGTGTTTCAGGCAATCACAACCTGAGTCAATTTATGAAAAAGCTCAAATCACTGAGCAGAACATTTTGTGCAATCCGCTGCTTTTAGTGTTGAGCTTTATGAATACGGCCTCAGGTCTTTTCTTTCTGTCCAATGTTCCCTATTTGGCCAGTCAGCGACAAATGAATATGCCCTTATCTGCCTGCTTTGTACCGTGCATTTATAGCATTGTATACAGAATGTATGTTCATACCAATCATGTTTGACACTCGAGGGGAGTAGCTGGCACAAGTTATTATGCTGGAATTCAGATACAGAGTGGAGGG